CAACACTAATTATTGGCTTTAGATTCACTCCAATTAATTTGATAAAGCAAACTCTCAACCTTATTCTTAGTCACAGTCAAGACCCTTTTATCCTGTTCTAGTAGTAAAGGAGTCCTAAAGAGGGAGTAAATATCATTTACTTACAGATCAATGTAAGAGAGCCTTTGTGTAAGTGAGAATCAGGCCCTGGGTCTTCTGAATGCTGGACATTGTACATTGGAATTGAAGGCCCTTTAAATTCTTTAAGCATCTCAGCACTATTGGCTGGAAGTGCAGAGTTAAGCACCTACATTAAGTTGTAGTTACACTGACAACTCCTGCTCTCCTAATTCATGGTCTGGACCGGCATTGGTATTTGTCTCAATGCCCAGTCACCTGCCCCCTATTTAAGGATGAGTGCTACAAATACAGTTGTCAAAAGAGGTACTGACAAAGTAATATCGTTGTTTTGTATGACCCTTCAACGGGCAGCCACATTTGGCCCAGATGAGGGTACAGAGACAGACTATACCTGGTTTCTTAGGTACGGGGGAGGGATACACACTTCTAAAATATATGGATAAGTGCTTTTTGAATTTGACCTTAATGCTAGTGACCTATTGTAATTTACTGCAAGAAGCTGTAGGTATCTAATACTGAAGTACGGAGCTTTATGTACTGTACTGCTTTTCAGGGAGCTGTAGACTACACAAAGAAAAAGATGGGGCAGGGGTTCCAAACTTTTTTTGGTTTGATCCACCCCCAACGTGATCGAGCTGTACTCTGTTGCAACTGCCACATCTTACCTTTTTCCTGGGCAGAGATACTCGGAAGTTGGTAGGTGGCTGCCAGAGTGAGATTGGGCTTCCCAGCAGCGTGGCTGCTCTTTCCACCACATCACTCATTATGAAGGGGAAAGCTGAGGCATATTCAAACATGCCCTAAGCAGCAGCATTTGCAGTAAGGATGCACATGCAACCCTGGGCGTAGGACACCCCTTACAGGTTGGGGAAAGTTGCAGTATAGGACATTTTAAACCTATTCTGCATCCTTGTTTCTGCCTGCTTTACAAACAGCAAAGAGCTGCAGGGAAGCAAAATAATATTTTGCCTTTTATGGAAAAAATAGCAGAACCGTAACCATAGGCATAAAAACTACTTATCTACCTTTTGCTTTTTTCTAATTACAGCCTAACCCACCTTAATGTTGTTGGAGTCTGTGAGGAACATGGCAAGACGGTCAATTCCTATCCCCCAGCCAGCAGTAGGAGGAAGTCCATATTCCAATGCTGTGCAGAAGTTTTCATCAATACTCATGGCTTCTTCATCACCTGCTGCTTTAGCCTAGGGCCCCAAAACAATATGAACATACAGTATTTCAAATATCAGTTTGGAAGCCTATAGGCACTTGTAACTCAATGGTAAAAGATGTGCAGTACCAGCTATATGTCCCAAGTAACACCCTGACATTCTACTGACACATACTGCTGAAGCAGCAGCATTTTCTGTCAGCAGGGAAGAGGCTGGTGTTTATTGATTCAGTCTGGGTAGCTGTTGTCTGTATCTCTCCTTGACTGAGTTGCAGTTGAGTAGCAGAGCTGCAGTCCTTATGGATCTATATAACCGTGTTCTTCAAACAGAGGTGTAACACCTACATTTAGCTTTGCCCCAAGATAAAAAATTTCTTAAAAATATATAAGTAATATCACCTTAGCAGCAGCTCAGAAGGGCAGAGATTTGGTTGTGACTATGAGTAAATGACTCCTGAGGCTGATGATGGCAGGATACAAGATGGTCATTCACTATAGGAAAACCTGAGCTTAAAGTCAGCTGGAGCCGTCCGGAGTGGAACTCTGATAAACATTTTCAAACCTGAGGGGCAGAAGCCCCGTGGCTCCAGGAAATACTCTTGATAATTTAATCCCCGAGGAAAGCCTTCTGCTAGACAATTCACCATGTAATACTAGTTACTTTCCAGCTGGCTAAAGTGTCCTTGGTGAGGCTGTTTAAGCAGGGAGGATTCTTAACCCCTGGATGTAAAGTTATGAGATACTTCAGGTACTTCCATAGAGCAGACTTTATTGGGGAATAGACAAGGCATCTAAATGTGGTATGCTCAGTCAGCACACTCCACCTCCAAGTCTCAGAATGGAAATGTTAGCCAAGTGCAGCATCATGTGGGAGGGTCACACAAATACAATATGGCTAGAGAGTCAAAAAGCTCAATATGATTTCTGCTGTGGACCCCTTAAAAAAAAGGGTAACTGGTAATGAGTGTCATGGGCCCAAAACATTTTGAAGAACTGACTAAGCACTACATATAAACCTTCCCTTCTACAGCCAATCACTAACTAGAAGCATTGGTACTAGCAAGAGAAAGAAAAAAAATGAAATTGAATAACATTTTTCTTTATAATTTGGGTTTTTAGAGAAAACCACTGCCTTCTGAAAAAGCTCATAACATGCTACGTAAATGTAGACAAAAATGTCTGTGGATGTGAAAAGAAAATCCATCTTTAACCATGCTTCCGTAATACCACAGGGTTTTTAAATCAGACAAATGACAAATAAAAGATTCCAAGGATTTTTAAAATTATATCTTACCCAAACCCAATTGAAAGCAGATGAACATTTAGATGAAAACCTCCTCTGAGTTAAGCACAGCAAATTTAGCCCAACCAATAATTCAGGTGCAGTGCAGAGAACATAGATCAGTTCAGCATTTGGCTCAACAACATATTGCCTTGTGGCTGTTAATTTTCAAGGCAAGAGCTTGCGTTCATTGCTCTTAAATGTAATATTTTAGTTCATACTGTTGTAATTTTGGAAGATGTTACCTTTGATTGGTCCTTAAAAAGCTCTCTCTGCCTCATTGGATCATTGAGCTCAGTGTAAGCATTGCAAATCTCCTTCTCCATCACAAAGAGTTCAAAACGTTCACTCAGGCCTTTCTTTGAACGATGCCTGGTTAGAAAGACAAAGTATGAGGCACGATTTAACATTTTGGTGTCCTGCTGCAGATTGGGATCAAAAATTCCAATAAAGAGTTCAACCCATACAAACAATTTAGGGTTTTGACTTCATTTTCAAACATCTTTCCCCTAGTTCTGTAGAAAGGCACTTAATTATACCATATGCCACTTATTTTCTGAAGTAACATTATTTCATACCTATTAGAGCTGTGAAAAGAAAAAAACTCACTACCAGCAAATCAGAGCCAAAACAGTGAAATTGTCATGGAAATTAAACATTTTCTAGAGTTAGTTTTGATTTTTTTCTTCCCTGCAACAACCACTTTTCTCTCTTTCAGGGGATGAAAGAGTGCCTATGAAAATGGCTGTTTCTCCAGAAAAATGTATTATGGATTATTTAAAATGGACTTTGAGACATATTTCCATCCTGGCCTTAACCAGACTTCCACTTTTGTGCCCTCAGTTTTTTAGGTGCAAATAAGTGTGAGCATAGTACAGGTAACAGACATCTATGTAGCTGGTTTCTGGGAACAATCACATTACTTTGACATATTAATGACCTAAATTGCATGCATGTAAACAGTTGTTTGAAAATCTGAGTCGTATGTCCTTATGTACCGTAATTGTGACTGAGTGTGGGTCCATGAAAGTAATGTATCTTGAGGGGATTCATTTTGCTGGAACTCAAAAACATCAACTCAAAAACCTCAGCAGCTGACTAACTTTTATATCATAATATAACAAAACAATAATGTGAACAGAAGTCACAATTTAGCTTGCAATAGAAAAACACTGTGACGAATAGACAGCTTTACTGAACCCTGAAATGAATTGAATATATGATTAGCTGAAGTTTAAAAATCCAACACTTGCACTGAAGTTACCTACCATTTAGCCAGAGGACTCATGATCTGGGGATGGTCACAAATGAATGTGGGGTTGATGCAGGAAACTTCAATAAACTCACCTACCAACTGCAAAGAGACAAGACTTCTGTTTTTCCCTTTTACTTGCATTTCATTTTGTTCTCAGTGTCATTTTATTATCCCAGATGGCACCAGTACGATTTCCATTCATCCCAATATTTGAGAGATTATTCCAATTTTGTCAGGCCCAACTAGTTTCAAGGATATTGATAGGCCC